TTTCTCGTTCGGAATACGTTTCTCTTGCATTTCTTAATAATTTTCCTGCGAAAATATAAAAGAAGCGTATATAATATCTCAATTTTATTTTAATAAAATTTATAATCGAGAAAGATCTTTAAATGTGTAAAGATTTTCACATTTTAAATATTAAGATTAAAAAGAAGAGAAAACATATAAACATTCGCTGAAAAGAATTCAACTCCAAATTTAATACGTAAATTGATTGAGTATATCCTTAGAGCTTAGAATCCTTAGAATCTTCTATATAGAAGCATTCTGTAAAGACATAAAACAGCTTCTTTTTACCAATTGGCATTTCTAAATTGGTCAATGGATAAGGCATCACTGCAAGAAAGTAAGTTTACAATAGTCTACACAAAATCGCTACCACCGCAAGAAATATTAAAAAGTCTTATTAAAATCATATTAAAAAGTATCCATATGTTGACCTTTTTACATCGATCTTTGTTTGTAGAAAACTGTTCTGACCAGCATCCACGGAGAGGATAGCAGCTTCAATGCTGATGCTTATATCAGTCTAGCCATAATCTATGGCGTGTTCGCGACTTGTAACTGGCTGGCGCCGTCATACATCTCGGTAACGGGTCCGCGGGTGGCCATACTCACCGGTTCCTGTTGCTACGTCCTGTTCATCGCCTCGTTCTTCTGCCCGCACGAGGCATTACTGTACGCTATGTCAGCCGTTCTCGGAGTAGGCGCCGCTCTCATATGGACCGGTCACGGACAATACCTGACGGAGAATAGCGACAGCGACACCATGTCTCGGAACGCTGGTATATTTTGGGCGATTTTCCAGACATCGCAGTTCGCCGGTAATCTATTTGTCTACTTCATGTTCAAATCACCTACCATTGATCATGGGCAACGGACGATCGTTTTCGGCGTGCTGACCGGTCTTTCGGTGATCGGCACCGTAATACTGGCGACTTTGAACAGATCACCGCAGAGATTATCGCTAGGCGAAGCTGAGGGGGTATCTAGTGCCGACAAGGAGCTGCAACTGCCGGAACCAATGCGCAAGAAACCTCTAGAGGCCGCGTGGTGTGCCTTCACAGACGCGATCAAACTCTTCCTCACGCCAAACATGCTGCTGCTGTCATTCACGTTCATCTACACGGGTCTGGAGCTTACTTTCTATTCCGGCGTATACTCGAGCAGCGTCGGCTTTACCAAAGCCATGGGCGAAAATCGTAAAAGTCTCGTAGGACTATCCGGTATCTTTATCGGACTCGGCGAGGTCATAGGCGGTGCCATCTTCGGCATTTTCGCATCCAAGATATTCCGTAATTGCGGTGGCTGGCCAGTGGTGCTTACTGGTTTCTTCGTGCATCTTTTCGCTTTCATCAGCATCTTCCTGAATCTGCCGGATGATGCGCCATTCGAGGACACTGACAATAAGGGTTACATCCCGGCTTCGCAGATCCTCGCGATGGTGGGCAGTCTCACTCTCGGCTTCGGCGATGCCTGCTTCAACACGCAGGTCTATTCGCTGCTGGGTATCCTATTCGTCAAGGAAAGTGCGCCGGCCTTTGCTCTTTTTAAATTCTGTCAATCGGTCGCAGCGGCCATTAGCTTTTCGTACAGTACCAAAACCGGACTGCATATACAACTCCTGGTATTACTTGTGACTATATTCTTTGGTACAGCGGCCTTTTGTTATGTCGAATATAGGGCCAAAAAATCGAGGAATGAGATACCGCAGGAAATCGATCCGGCGCTGGTCGATACCACGAACAGTGAAAATTGATAAGTCTAGTAAAATGCATTTTTTAGGATACAAAGATATATAGCAAGAGAGAGATCAAATAAGACACGCAAAAGATTTTGGAAGTGCTCAACAGCGTCAAATACGATAAACCGCGTTGAACATTAAAACGAGTAGCTCGTAATAAAAGCTCAAATGTTAAGGGAAATTATTTTGATATTTCAGTAACTAGATTAGATTTGCAAATTTATTATATAATGCCTAAATTTTTCCTGATTTATTAGAGGCTACAATATTATATTATAAATACAGTAAACATTAAAGTTCAAGATGCGGATTGTGAAATAATTGCGAATTAATGTAGTGATTCTTGTTTTTCGAAACACATTATTGCAAGAAGTCTCTATTGTATATAGTCAAATCCATCAGAAGATCATCATGTGATTGATTGTTATGTATATCGTGGTCTTCCGATTTATATTTCTCAACTTCTACAATACTTTCGGAGCACTTTTGTGTATTTTATATTGATTTCTCCTTTAAAATGATATTTTTCTATATATACAAGTTTGTCCGAAATGTGCATATGCATCTACTTATCAGAATCGATATTCTCATTATAAAGTATTACATCACTCGCGGAGAATTAAAAGACATTGTTTTGAAGGCGATTCATTCGGTTATCCATAGGTGTATTGTTATTAGAATGCAAGATTTATCAATCGATATATATAATAATTTCATTTTATGCACAAATTCGAAGGCTGTGTACGTGTCTTTTGCATTTCACCAGGAATTCTTTTTTGTGAGATAAACTTTTTGCAAAATTGCAAAATCGGATTTGTATATATGTATGGCCATGTGTGCATGTGTTGTTAATAGCGATTCTCGCATCATTTTTGTAACGTATTGCGATTTTGACGTTGTGACTAACTAGTCCGTAACATGAGTCTGCCACAAGACTCGCGTTTAACTAGTCCGTTATGCGACATTTATAGCTTGAAACTCGATTAAATTATCCAAGATCAGACATAAGGACTTGTTCTCTCCTTTGTTAATCGACGTTCGCCACAAGTGTCGCGTCAAACATATAGATTAATTGCGTATGTGTACAGGATATATTAAAAATTTGGCACACAATTTCTTTTTTTCTTTCACACAATTTCTCAATAAATGTATAAGAGAATTAAAAATATAAGATGCAAGTTCAAGAATCTTTAATTGATTTAAGTAAAAATTGCATCAAACTGAAATTATAAAATACTAAATAACAAAATTTGTCGTTATTAAAGAGTTTTGAAATGATAAAATTTTTATAAAAATCTAATCACGCAACTTTCGTCATCCTTTATAAACGAATACGCATCTATTCTTTCTTTATGTCTTATTTTTATTTAATAGATCATGGATATCAATGGATATCATGTATATCATGGATTAAATCAATTTTGTGCATTTAAGACGATGGAATTATGAAAATGCGACTAGAAATACAGTCAATGATGATCGACTATTCTCATGACAATTAAAATTCTACTAAAGATATTCGATATTGAAAAATATGTATACGAGACATTGTAATACTTTTACAGGAATATTTGAACGCATTTCTGTCTTTATAATCTTCGTAAGGGGACTCAGCGTTTTGTTTCGTCCCTTATATGCCTGTTACAGTCTATGACACACATTCCTTTATATATATATATATATGTATAAATGCATTTAAATATTCCTCCTGTATATATGATAAGAATTATATACAATACAAAATATTTCTTCTTGCATAGAAAAACTGTTTCGCTCCATGAACATGTACCTGATAAAGAATGATTATGATATATATGAAGCGTCTACAATGCCGATCAAATAATCGAGAGGTGAATAATCGAGAATGTGATCATTATTGTTTTCATCGAATAATCTATAAATGAAGTTTTATGAAATATATATGTATATATAAATTCTATCATAATAGACAATACGATGTATATAAGAGATTAATGAATATTATTAATGACGATAATGCGATTGTTGTTGCTAAATATATTTATAATATTGTATATAGTCATATATACTTTATACCGTTCTGATCCCTCCCCCAAGGTTTTCTTGTAAAAAGAAAATATCCGAAAGTGCTTCTTTCCTTATAAATATATTATAAATATATTAAATATATTATACAATAGCTTTTTTAAAAAATAATGCACATGCTATTTAAAGTATACAAAATTGCAAAATTGTCACACACACACAAACTTCGATTTCTAAAATATTACTATGTAATTAACTCTTCATTAATTCAATTCTACATTAGCTGTTCAATACATTGTCGTGTGAAATGGTATAATGTGAATCAATCGTATATCTAATTCTCATGTCAATAATTCATATCTATCATTTTTAATCATCGAGTTGACAAAGGGCAGCCACACCTCTGTTAATCCAATGTGGTTCGTCGATATCCGTTGGAATCAAGATATATAGTATAAAATTGGAAGAATGTCCAGTAGTAGCTAATACACCACGTCTAGCGCTCGTTTTGTATACTGGACAATGATAAACGTCTCTTATATCGAATTTACTTTTTATACCGGGTTTTAACCATATAATAGGTAGCACATCGAACATTATTTTAGGCTTAGATTCGTCCAGTAGTCTCGTCTCTCTGTTCCATCGAGCTCCTTCCAGGAAAAGACCCTGAAGAAAAACCGTCGCACACAGGTAAAAATTAATCGATAGTAAAAAGTCTAATATAAACGAGGATGCGTCATCACTGCAAGATAATAGTGTAAAAACTTCAATTTAAAATTGGATTTTAATTTTAAAGTTCTAATTTAAGAATTATATATTTGCGAAATTTTACGTACGATGATATAAACCCCGTGGGAGGGGGCAGTGTCGACGCTTAATTCGAACGGGGTGATTTCGAATTCGAAGTCTAGCTGATCGATCGGTATCCTATGCTTGCGAGCGTAATTTTGCAGCACCGCCGTCAAAAATGACTGCGTGAAAAAGAAACCGGATATCCAAAACACGTTTGGTGCATCGTGGTCGATCCAATTTTGCAAAAATTGCAATCTCGCCAATAGATCGTTCACATAACTACCGAGCGGCTTCAAGCTAGGATATGACTTTCTGTCCCAAGCGAGCGGCACTTTACCGATGCTCATGCTAACGTAGACTTCTTCCAATTCTAGTGACATCAGCACCTGTCCTCTGATGGCCTTTCGCACATTGCTCAACGTTTCTCTGATGACATCGGTAAGCTCGTTGAATCTAACAAGTTCTTGACGCAACACCGTGTTCATGCTGTTTATATAGAGTACCGGATACTTATTCGACGCGGACTCAATATCGAATTGCGGTCGCATCTTTGATAAGATCTCACCGGCCAGAGCGAAAACCACTTCATCCATGTCTCTCTCGACACCTGATAAAAAAACAGTAAAAATGTTTATTGTAGAATATAATCATATATTATGTGAAAGTTATACCGCTTCAATTTTATATATGATACAGAAAGATTGCGCAATAATATTTGCAATCTTTTTGTAACGAAATGTCTCTACAATGCTGCTATAGTAGTAATTGCAGATAACGCTGTATAGAGCGAAAGTATATTGAAAGCCACATAAAAACTGTACGTAATAACTAATAAGCACGGCACATGATTTGGAAAAAGCAGAGGGAAAAATTTCAATAATTAGGGAAACTAAAATAGCTATACATATGTCATTTACTCACCTACTCCGCTAATTTGTGGCTGAGTCAAAAGCGCGCCGGCCAACAGTTGCTTTGCTTCTCGATTATCCTTCGCTATGTCCGCATTCTCGTGCAAACCAAAGACTTCCGGCATCTGATTGATAGGTAAACTGCGAATATATTTCAGACATCCTTCGTGATCGGTATCTTCCGGCATATGATAAATTCCGCTCGGAGAAAAAGGGTATCTACATAAAAAATATGAATTATATAGAATGTTGTGAGAAAAAAATTCATGAGCATATTGTCCGACAAAAATTTGGAGTCAGTTTTCTTTTAATAAAAAATTAGTCAGCTTTCTTATAATTTTTTTGTTATTTTTAACGTTAAATACTTTGGTTTACGATTTTTGAAATTTTATTAAGATAAATCTCTAGAAATTAAATAAAGAAGAAGGTTTTCTCTCTCATCTATTTTTATTCAAACTTGAACTTTATTTTTGTGAAAAAAAAAAACGATTCCAAGTTGTTCAAAGAATACATTTTTAGATTTTTTAATTCTGTCTAATGTTAAAAACGAATATTACCGTTTCTGTGTAATAACTTTGGGATTGTAAAAATTCTTCAGTAACGAATTCAGCAGGCGTCTATCTTTATCATCGGTCACCCTTCCTCCATAATTGCATTCTCCCGTCAGATAAATGAGTGCGTCGAATGGCACTTCATCGTAATCATTTAAAAATAGCTAGATCAATAAGATAATACATTATATAATAATTTAATTTCATAATAATATTTATCAATTAATAAAAAAATGCTAGCGCGTACTTGCAATTGTAGAATACTGATGCGCAAATCAGATTCGTTGAATTCGTAAGGTATGTTCCAGCCGAGTGGACCAAAACTTCGTCTTTCCTGAACTACTGCGTGGAAGAAGCACAGAGAGAATAGCAATCTTCTCCATTCTACCACTTTCGTACACTCGCGAAAGAATTTAGGATCCGATATGGGATCGTTCAGGTAACTTCGCAGCAGATTGCTCTTCAGCCCTTTCGGTGGTTCGTTCGTCATCTTGACGCCGTTCTGCAATATGGATACTGGAAATCCTTTGGACGGATAACTAGTCAGCCATATTCGAAAATCGCGATGCGTATTCTCGGGCACGATGATCTCGTCACATATCCGATCAAGTTCCTTCATCCATGAAATGGCGAGATGGCAGTTTTGCAGAATAACCCACTCGCCGCTTTTAATACCTCTCTCAATCATGCCGGTCGCGATGGGGCCTTGGCCTTGACCCAGCGATATCGTCATGAGATTCTGCTTTGAAATTCCACGATCCTCGGCGAATTTTATCAGACCGGCCATCGGATCTGAACCAGGTGAGAGCACAAAGATGAGCGGCGTGACATTGCTCGAGTCGTTGTACGAGCTCTGGAGATCGAATGGCGGCGGTTCCATGAACGACGCACCCATATGGTGAATGACGAATGCTTGAACAGCGGCGACCATCTTGTCCGTCCTCACGCATCTCAGGATCACGAGTTTCCTCAAGCTCTCGGCCACATGCTCGAAAGGCGGTGGAAGTGGATGCTCTTGCGGATTGAATAGATCGTAATACGTTTTCCACTGTGATATGTTGGACTGGAAGGACTCTCTCAATTTTTCGAGACCCGGTAAGAGGCTAGCTCTCACGACTTCGGACCAGGATTTGTCGGATAACCATGAGGGGTCAGGATTGGGATAAGGATTGTCGAAAGCCACTCCGCCCGTCAATAAAAACACCCAGAGATCTTCCTCCAGTTTACGAGCAGCACGTAGCAGACCGGCGCAGAGGACCAAAGAAAATATCAACTTGTCCTTTTCAAACAGAGATCGACATACGTTTCTATAAATGCTTGCAGTGAAGTATGAATTGAGACTGTTCATTCGCGTGTTCAGATTATCTGATTGCTCGCTATTGGCTATTGCCGTGACGTAGAGATGGAGAAACCATGGTAGCGAATACTGATACATAGGGTCGATATTGGCCAATTCGGAAATGCAGAAAAAGAGAACCGCTCCATGTTTCGAGACCGGCTGATAGCCATTGCGAGCTTCATCTATCTCCTCCGAAGTTTTCACCGCGATCTCTTGTTTCGCCTGAATGTCTTCTGATAGCACCTTCGAAGTCGAGAGTATTTTGATAGCGGTCTCGTCTTCAAGTATATTGCCTTCCGATGTCGTGAGAACCTCCAAAATCTTATCCTCGATCTCCTTCAAGATTTTCCTGTTGTTCGCTCCTTCCACTATTAACTGATTTTTCTTTTCTTCCAAAGTCGGTAGCTCTTTGGCTACGACTATACCTAACAATTGATCCTGCAGACCTTGAGGTGTAATCATAAAATTCAATAAAGTTACCTTCACCGCGATCTCGGGCAAGTAATGCGGATTTCGAA